AAAGCCGTCACGCAGAAAATAAATTACATGTTTTTCAAAAAGGCTTTCGTTGCGTTTTGTACATATTTTAATGTGCCATTTCAAATCGACCCAGACACACTATTAATTAAGATGACGTATCTAGTCGTTAAAAACGACTGACCTTTAATTAAATAACTTTCAGATCGATATTGTTTTTCATAACCTCGATATAATTTTTTTTAAATTTTTTTCTCGATTTAATGAATCACGTGCACTCGTTTTGTGTCGAGTGTCTGACCAGAAAACTGCAATTTACATAATAATAATTGTTAATGCTTACTCGTTATTTTTTTTACCGTTCGTAAATATATTTTTTAATGATTATCATAATCCACTACTTATTGTACCACATTTTTTAGTGTCACATTTACTTTGTGTAATTATTACTAGACATGATTTCAATAAACGCACTGCACAAATTATTATAATACATGGTTGGTTTTTATATCAGTTTTATTTTTCGATCTTTTTCCAATTTCGATTTTGATAATTCTTTTTAGTTTATGGTAATCGATTAAATGCAATATCCTTCATCTCCCTTCTCGTTGGTTCCATCGTTCCATATCAGCTACCGTTTCTTCGCCATTGTTTATATTAGTTTAGGTTATTCTATATTCTGTACTTCTGTATACTCTCCGTTTATTTCTCAGACATTCTCTGTAGTGGCACTCATTGGGTTCCATTTTACTATAACTTGGATCATAATAAGTGCTTATATATCCCTGTCATGCAGTCTCCTGCCCTGCTTTCGATCGCCAATATCGCTGCTATATCCTCTTTTCCCGATACATCTCTGAGATCGTGGTTTTTCTTAACATTATAGTATTTTCATCTCTATTTGGCCCAATAATTTGTTGCAGTACTTTTCTCTCAAACATCACAACGCATAAGTTTTTTGTATATCTATATATTTTTTTTTATTACGGACCACTTCAGGTCTACAGAGTGTAATAAGACGTACTTTGACTCTATAATTGTTGATAGTTTGGTTTTCTGCGATAGGGTTGATAACATGCAGCACTATAATACAGAGCGAAAAGGAATCTGAAGTATATATTAACACAATTAGTTGCGCTCAATTTCCGTTGAATTTCCTCGCGGCAATATCCGGATGAGTTTATCAGCGGAATATCTTACAGACGGTATTCATCGTAATAGTTCACGTTTCGTACATTTCGGCGATTTTAAATTCCTCGTGTGTAAAATTATAATAAACGATCGGTATATATGTATATATACGACATATTGTATTGATCCGTATCGATTTATTGAATGGCCCGCGTAGCTTATGGTCATTAATTATAATATTAGTATTTTCCGCGAGCCAGAAATCTGAACGAGGGCGTAATTAAAATAATTATAAAACAAAAAAAAAGGACCGTCAGTTCGATAGAAGTGCCACAACCATAACAGTCGTCGTGATTTCTACTCGCAAAATCTAATTGTACAGTGAATATCGTTAATCCAAATATTATCATATTATTGTCATTTAATCTGGTGCTACGAAAAAATTATTTTACCGTATTCCCCCACAAACCAGAAAACGTATAACATTATAATAGTTATTTGTACACGCCATAGGCTCCCAATAGTCTCGATCTATGGTATACACCTGTCACCGTTGGAAACTACTGGTATATACGAAAAATTGTTCAGAAATTTCTACTCTAAATAGCGATCCGTTTATAGCAAATAAGTGATTTTCACGGAGCATTTCAAATGAATTTGATTTCTATTAATTTTTTTTCCAATCATTACGGAACCGTTTGTACTTTATTTTAACACCGTTTTCATTTATTTGTTTTAACCCTACTCCATAGTCAACGTTAAATTAGTATACGTTTTGGATTTTTAAATTACCGTTCTCCGTTCAAACACAGATTTGAATATAGAGAATATTTTTCTAATCATTTCGATATGCGCAAAACACATATTTGATCGGCTTTTCCGAGCTAACGAGTTGTAACGGTTTAAAATGTAGACCGCCTAGGATTAGACATCCCAACCATATTTTCAAAGATTCAAAAATAAAATTTACTTAAAATCCTCCGAGAAAATCGGTGGATAAATAAAAATAAATATAGATTACCCTATATTGTCCAAAATCCAAAAATGTACAAACCAAATGTATTTGTTCGTATTTCGTTAATTTTTTTCCTCTACAAAAATACGCGAAATCGAGAAATTTCATTAACGAACCATTCCTGGTTTTTTTCCTTAAAAATCTTTAATACTAATTCAATAAACCGTCAATAATAATACTGTAGGAATATATTTATTCTGGCAATTTTTAATGATGTTTGTGTATTTATTTTTGTCTCGCAGTCCAATTATATAATTATACTGTAGAATTCGGAAATATTTGTGTCGTTCGCGATTTCTAAAACGAGAATCATTTGTTTTAAATCGTCTACGCGAGAAAACATAGTGATATTATGTTACACGCGAAACTCGTTTTAAAATTATTTAGACCAGGTAGATAGGTAGATAGGTAGCTAAGTACCTATAATATATGTATAGGAACTGGACATTTTTTTTTTTACTATCCTGCTTTTATCGGACTGTCTATTTCGGTATTCAAATGAAAATTTAAAAAAAAAAAAAACCACCTATGGATGCTACGGAGGATATATCGAGATTATTTTTATTCTATCTCAGCTCGCACGCACGGTGGTATTATAATATAATAATATTACGTGGTATACCTGCAGTACTGCGGGATGTTTGCTTTCTATCGGTCTGATAGCGGTCACTATAGCGGACGGGGAAAAAAGCGTTTGCACGGAGAATGTCGATATCGAAAAAAAAAAAAAAAAAAAAAAAAAAATTACAACGACAATAATGTAACGATAGTAATAATATTATAATATCGTGATATAGTATAACTGTGCGAGGGAGCAGCGGCTGCTGATTCATCAGAAGCCAACAATGTGCCGGTGATTGCGCCGTTTAAAATAAACACGATAAATACGAAGCAGAAGCTGCTGCTGCAGCAGGGGCTTCCGAGAGAACCACCGTCGTCGTCGTAACCCGTCGTCTAGATTTTTTTTTAAGGTGTTAGACCTCGGAGCATATTATATATTTATACGTGTAATCGTAATTTTCGTTCTTATTCACCGTAAACATCGCCCGTATAATATTATAATAGACATTATAGTCCAGGTTTTTTTTTTTTTCTGAACTTCATCGATATTAATCGTGTCTCACGTGTCGAAAATTACTGTAGATCAAATAATAACATGATTAAAAATCAACGCCTTAAAAACGCTATTTTATTAACATTATTATTATTATTATTGTTATTATTATTATTTCGAGTACATATTTTATTCGAAAATCGAAAATCACCGTGACCAATACTACGACGGGTATATTGTATACTGTACATAATATACCTGTAGACAGGTATAGGTACAGGACGAATCGGAAAAACGATGTACGTAAATTTCGTTTCCGTATACCGTTTTATTTTCAGTGTATTCCTCGGCATTATTTATAAACGCTTACAATATTCAAAATATTCAATTGTCTATACGGGACGATTCTTTAAGTACAATCCGGCGACATTATCAACATTATTTTTGAAATGTTTATCCTACTATGTATAATGTATATACTTCAAATGAGCACCTCAACGCACTTCTATAAACTTCGGATTTTCAAATAGAAAAAATGCAATAGTATACAATAAGACGTATTAATATATTATCATTATCTAGATAAATTTGATTTTTTTTATCTTTTATCTTTATCTAAATCACTTTTTTAATCATATAGTCCGACCACTGTTAAAAATAGATCTGAACTCTGAAATTTATTAATCTTCCTTGCGCCTACGTTTTAAATTTTAAACCGTTAAAATGCATAAACGGTAAATCCGCTTTGAATATCGTGTGTTTTTAAATTTGTGGACAAATTGCCCGTGGATAAAAGAAAAAAAAACCTAACCTAACCTGGCCTGACCTCGTTACGCTTCGAATATTAAATATACCGAAACAAAATATTATTTATGTATCCTCTCTAAATGCAATAACCATTAACCGTTATATTTAGAAAAGTAAAAAATTACTTAAATTTGAATTTGCGATGGTATCTGCAAACTAAAAAAAGTATCAACATCAAACAGGCATACGATTAGAAACGTTATTTTTTTATCATATCAATTTTGATGAAAAGACGTGTCTGTACTTAAATATGCTTTTTAAATACTGTGTACATAGTTTAGTAATATTTAAATATTTATTCCGTTTAAAATATTTAATAGTTAAGATAGTTAAGTTTTTTTTTTTTTTTTTTATCACGTTTTTTTAAACGAAATACATTTAAATTTAATATTTTGAATATCAATGTGGATTTAAACGATGAGGTAAAGTTTTAACGTGTACGTAACGCTAGGAAAGTAACTACAGACTAACAAATATACAAATATACAGACGAAAACTGTTTCGAATAATATGCATATTTATCTATTGTGCTTGCAGTTGATTTACTCGTTATAAAACTCGTTTAATCCGACCTGTATTCATAAATACGTTTAACATTCGTCAGAGTGATCAAACGGTAGGGAGAATATATCCCCTATGACCTTTTCTCTGTCAATATTATATTAACGATTTACATGGAGATTCAAAATGTATGATACATTCATTTATCATGGAAATATTTTAGATGGAGACACGTCAAAAAAAGAAACTTTTTTGATTTTTAAACATCTAAAATTATTTTTATTTTTTTTTTCTACTATATTTTTTGAAGAAATTTCGGAGTCGACTTTTGCCATTCAAATGACAACCTTTATTCAAAATTCCATAAATAGACGGAGTGTTAGTTTAAATACATTTTGGTGTAGACATTTTTTGATTTCCCTCGTATATTAACTATAAAGTAGAATCAAAAACACCAAACTATATTTATACTTATAATAAATAGTGTATTTTGCAACATCAAATATTGTACATTAGTCGAATATTCAATATTGTAACACCCCCTATAAGCAAAGCTCATGTTGGGGAACAATTCTTAAAGTTATAAAGTTACAATATAATAACAAATTAAAATATGATAAAAATTAATTGTAAAATAGTATCAAGAGACAATGTTCAGAGGTTAATTTAACGTTAATCAAAGAAATTAAATGGAATACAAGTGACATTTCATAAAACTACAAATAACAAGTTAAATTCAAGTGTTTAGTGTATTTCTTAAAAGTATTTAAATTATTAAAATTAAATACATTTATATTTAATGAAATACATAAATTCAGACTTATATATAATATAATTTTTTGTCCAGATTATTATGCGTAATTAGGTAAACGAATATGATATTTTGTTTGGATCTGGTTTTATGTTCATGGCCGAAAAAAAAACTAATATGCATTCAATTTTCTCCGTGTTGAATATTAACATGATAAAATTGCTATAACATAAGCTTTGAATCTACTTTTGTGTATATGTAATATGTATATTGTGTAATATTTCCTATTTAATATTTATAAAACAAAAAAAAAAAATCATTATGGTTAAAAAATGTTTAGAAAAAACCGGCATTTTTCGGAACACGATACTCATAAATACACTACGACACTGTCCGGTTACTTACTTAAATGCAAATTGAAATTTATAGACCCGTACCAATAAGCTACGTATTATTTGGCGGTACTCAACTGAAATAATAAATTGTTGTTTTCAAATACGTAATTATGTATTATATAGACGGATATGGTGACAACAAATAATTATTCGCCCGAAGTCACTAGATAAAACTGTCGTAGACAACAATTTGTTTGGTTGGAGAAGTTCAGTTATCCTAAACAAAAAAAGTAAACAATAACTAATCTAAGTTAAAGTTAATTTTAAAATTGAAATTAATTTGGGTTACTAAAATCAAAAAAATTACCTCCTTAAAGTACCATCACCCTTGTCGAATTTCCTTTCAGAAAAAAATGTTACATTTGACAATCTGAGCTAAATTTCCGGTAGAATAGTTGTTCACAGAAAAAAAAAAAAAAAAACTTCATTGTAAAATCATTCTTCGCTCCACTCAGACTACAAAGTAAAATGAAATCCGCGAACCTTTCCGAACGAATATATGCGATAAAACGGGTTCAGTTCGATAAAAATACTATACATATTATTGCACGTCGTTTATGTATAATGACATAATATACATTATATTATTTTGAATTCAAAACCGATTTGAATACCGAAACGAACGTCTTCTCGATAGCTGAAGTAACGCGCGTACTATAGTGCATTAAAATATACGCTCGTATAAATATGTAAAATTTGGTCGAACGTGTAATAGATAAAATAATAATAAAAAAAAAGTAAGAAATTAAACCGACAATTCGGATTGTTTGATCTAGACAATAAAGAATTATGTAATTTGACAAAGTCATCGTCACGAATGATGGATGGAAAATTCGTAATGGATCCTTGTATTTTTTCAAACGAGTTTTGTATGCGTTTCGCGAGGGTGAACGTAAAATATGTTTTCCGTAGGATTACCGTGTATATATATATACACGTACTATACCGTTTTTGCTGTTTATTGCAAAGGAATATAATAGTTTTCAGAATATATATATATATATATATATATATATATATCACATAAATCTCAAAAACTATTATGAACGAATACACCGCACAAACCAAATTTGTGACAGAGTTCCTTAAACGTTTGTAATGGAAAAAAAATGCGCTGTACAGTAATAATTGTCCGTGAAAAACATTTTAGCTTCCGAAAACACGATGACGTATTACAATCCCCCGCGTATCACAACAATACTTTTTATGTTACGTTCGATAATAAACGCGAAACCTTATTTTATTGTGTTTGTAAATATACAGAAAAAAAACCTATCGGAGTTACTGTTGAAGTGGTGTTTTATCCGTTTTATTGTTGCCGAGGTAATCCGGAGAAATCAATAAAAATAAAATTATAAAAAAAAAAAAATAGTTCTTAGGTGGGAGGGTGTGAACTGTTGAAAATTTCTATAAATATTTCAAATAAAATATTACCGGACAAAAATTATACGTCTTATAAGGCGTTGCGTGAAAAAATCGACACATTTTTGTAGCCAAGAACCATAAAATGCAAACGGTGAACATAATGAAAACCAAGTTGTATTTTATTGGAAAAAAAAAATTGTATTTATATTTTACGAGTTGGAATTAAATTAGCAAGTTTTTTACTAGCATTTAAATTTAAAAAAAAGAATAAAGTAACTTCACAATGAAAATAATTTAAAAACTAATTTAATTACAATTTTATTCTTTGTAAATAAAATAACCTCTTAAATTAGAAAAACTTTCAATTTTATAAATGTCGATCAAATTGCCGAATCGTTATGAAAATGGAAAATAATAGAAAAATATAATGCAAATTTTAGATTTTGAGTGTAGCGAGGGATGTATTAGTTTTGCAATGATGTTTATTATAATTTTTTTTCCCTGCAGATAACTTTTCTACCAGAAATTTTGCTCCAATTTGCAATCATAGCAAATTTTTGAAAAAAAATTTGGCTGGGGTGGTAATTTAAGGTGGTAATTTTTTGATTTTTTCAAGAAATTGGAAAAATCGGGAAAAACATAGAAAATACGGGAAAATAGAAAAAATTTAATTAAATATTAATAAACAAAATATTTAATACATACATATATATATATATATATATATATATATATATATATTGTTGACAAGCAACACTATCAACCGAACTCCGCTCAGAATCGTTTTTTCGTTAGTAGTGGTTAATCATTGTGTACAGATACACATTAAATTTTCCAACCAGTCCCTATCATCCAAGGACAGCTTTTTCATGACATATCTTAAATGTTGCAGATTATCCGCCCGACGGTACATGTACTTGTTAAGTTTTTCAAACAATTAAATACTGTTTTCAAACAAACGACGACACATTGTGATATAATTTTGTTGATTTCTGTAATAAATACTTTGCCTATGTAAGTGTAAATATGACTTACCAAGTCCTACCTGCAGTTTACCGAGTTCAGCTCGGATCCGGTTTTTGTTTTTAATGCGGTATCGTCTTTTTCAGCATATAAACTGGATACTTATTACTCTATACCCTATACCTTCCAAAATTTTCACCTACAATTACAGTGGTTTACCCGTGGTGTGTAAAGTGTGCCCGAATTTTTTTTTATATAGGTACGTAATATTATTTTCTTGTAAATACTTCATGTGAAATAAAATGTATATTTTTCATATTTGAATTTTACCCAGGTTCGGAAAACTCGTTATACCGACCATGAAAAGAAACCGAATTTTCGGGCTTTACAACCTTTTTACATTATTCAATTTATAGTATTTTTCCTGAAAGACCGTTTGGAAATTCTATGATCTAACCCGGGACTCTTTAGATTCCATGAAAATAATAAAAAAAAAGTTCAATCATACGGGTTTCTCTTCTAAATTTGTATGTCAAAGTCGTAAAAATACAATAAAAAATTAATCTCGAAAGTATCCAAACGAAATTTCGAATAATTCAAAAGAGTGCAGGTTTTTGTGTAACCGTAAATAAAATCACGGTCACGAGGAGAACAAAATAGACGGAAAATTGGGAAGGCAAGATATTATATAAAGTCGTTTAATTTATATCTAAACGCAACGATAAACCATCATTGCTAACGGGAAACAATTTTGTAAAAAGTTTTGTTATATACATGTTTTGTAATGCCATAATTTTTACGTTTATCATCGAAATTTGATGAAATAAAAAAGAAGCTATACAAACTTTTCATTACTGACGGTTTATCGTCGCGTATAGATATAAATTAACTCTACTCTATATATTCATCCTTTCGACTTTTTTCCTAAACCGGAAGCACAACCACCAGCAGTATTAACCTTTTTCTTTCGTGTATTAACGAAGTTTAAAAAGAAATGCCGAAAAAAAATCAGAAGGAAAAACGGGTTATGTCGCCATCAGGGCCGGCGTTTTTAGTCGAATCTATACCACTGCTCTCCTATCAAACACTAGTGATAATACCGTACATTCGGCCATGGCCGTAAATAGAGTTTGACGATATAACGTGCGTATACGTGTTTATCTCAAAATCATTGTTACATTTCTAAAAATATTATTTTTCCAGTTTTTTGTCCCGTATAAATAATTATGGTATCCTTTTCTCGTCGACACCGTAATATTCGAACACATGTACACGATTATCATGTTCGATCCATTTAATTCGACCGTATCGATCAATTACATGCAATTATTATAAACGATCAGAATCGCTGGTTAAAATATATACTGTATATAATGTATTTATATATATATATATATATATTGTGCGTGAACTAGTGATTAAAACGTTTGTGCGTGTTTAAGGCCACCATTATATACTGCAGTATGCTACGGTCACTATGTGGTATTCGAATATGCATTTACGCAAGTATTTGAATAGTTTTGTCTTTTACGGTATTTTTACGGACGTTATACCTAGATGTGTTATCTCCATCTTGCAAACGGATACGCCGTAGCGAATTTACGTTGACGCAGGGATAACTTTGCACTGTTGCAGGTTTTCAGTAATATTATAGAGAGAATTGACCTATTATGGAACTTTAAGACAAGAACGTTAACTGTGCGACGTTGGCGTTATTTTTTCGGTATTTTAATTTTATAAACAGATACGAGTACATGAAATATCACAATTTTAATGCTTTATTAGTTCAAATGTCTGAATAATATCACCAACGCTGATCAAATATAATGTTGTTATTTTCAAGTTTAATACTAGTGGTCAATTTGTAAACCTAAAAAAAGACTATCTCCCGTAATAATTCCGCGGGAATCTGACGTTACAGCCGACAAATGCGCGGTAACGAACGAGTTTAAAGGAATTCGGTGCACGTAATAAAACGTATGTATGTGTGTTAAAAAAAAAACAAAAACAAAAATTAATTACAGGCTTTGTCCGAAAAGTGCAGTTAAAATAAACTTACCGTAAGCACTAAAAAAACGTATAAACGGCCAGACGAAAATAGATCAGTCGGCTGCCTCGTTATATTGTTATTTGATGGATATTTTTAATACGGATTTTATTTTATACATCCTCCTGGACTGGAATAAGGGACAAGGGCTACTGCAGGCGGCCCTAAAAATATATCGTTTCATCTGTCTTCCGACTATAGGGTCACCAGACGTCCTTTATGCTTAAATATTAAAACTTGGAAAATGTGCGGGTTTTGAAAACGATTTGAAAAATAAAATATTATATTTTATCGTTAATTGATGATTCAACCTACGGTGCTACACTGATATGTTAATGTAGACAATCAAGAAGCAAGATGATAATATTATCGTATTTTAACATGTATTGTTACACGCAATGGTATTACGTTATGTCAGCTATTTAAAGCGAAAGAAATAATACACATTTTACTTACTAGTATATTTTTCACTATCAACAATTTTGCTTTTCATGGAAAAAAGGCTTTTTGTTCGATAACCATACAAGTGTTGACCTTACTTCTAACCGTTTGTTAATACATTTGCATCATCATAGATAACAATATGACTATGCACAGAATAACAATATACGAACAATTTAATTAGTAATGCTTTTTTTGTATTGCTATGTATAATATTATGCTCATATCGTAAATACATTCAAAGGGGATTCGAAACGTAACGGGAATTTGCACAGTGCAAAACGTCGGTTTTAGTTGTTCGATATCGCTGTTGCGAAATAAATTATTAGAATTTGAAAAACTTAAAAATTTCAGATGTTTAAACAATATAATAACGGAAATTAATACATTTTCGCTTATCTTCGACCTACACACAAAAATGCACCTGCACGTGATTCGGACTTCCACATATACTATGCATAAATATAATATTCATAAAATAGTACACCCTGTAAGAGAACGTACATATTATTCCATTTTTTCTGACAATTGCTTAATACGGCATTTCTACTTATATTATTATATCTGTGCGTAGTATAATTTTATACAGTATGATAACTCGAAACTATTCGCATTGTCGTGTAGCGCTCTTCAACTATGTTTTCGAAGGGTATTACGACTATTATTATTGTTATTATTTTTTAATCCTTAAATTTTGTCAACCGAACAATTCGGAGTGGGTTTTCATACGGACGTACAATGCAGTTCCGGAACAGTATAACAAGTATATTATAACATTTAATATCGTTTCGTTGCCGTGCGTACAATTATTTAATATATATATATAACATGACCGTTGACTTTTTAATTAGCCGTCCGTTTTTAATAGTAATATCAATAATTATTACTATAGACGCCCAGACAATCGATGATATTGCATTCTATTGTTATTATTCACGGGCACTGTTTACCGTCACGAAGTAAACCGTTTTCGTTTCGGTAAATTCTGATTCGAAATCGAATTTCAATTTGAATTCGTATAGTTTTCGTTACGAAAAGAGCTCGTAAATTCCATAATACTCGTATTTTAATCTGAACCAGATTATCCGATGTCTGTGATACATGCGCATGTATATATTTTTTGGATAATTGCATCTTTTTTTCTCCCCTTAGAAAAAAGAAATGTACTCGTATTAATTATACGTGATATAATTTAAATATTAAAAATTTAACTTTGCCGTTTTTCTGAAATATTGTCAGTTGAAAATAACGTCACAGTCATATTTTTTTGTTAATATTTTGATTTTTATGCAAGCGCATCAGGGAATTTATTGGTTTTATTACGATGCGTAAGATTTTTTTTTGTACTTGCAGTGTGATTGAACAACTTTTTACCAGACATCTTAGATCGTTATTCGAGTGTAGTATTTATAAAATGTTACCTAGCCGGTGCGTTGTTTGATTTTTTTGGAAGTTTTCTGAATAATTGTGAAAAATGTAAGAAAATCTGGAAAGATAACGGTAATAATGATTTCGATTTGATTTTTTTTTGTTGCAATTTGTTTAAAAAAACTCATCGAGACTGAGACAGAATACTTATATTAGTCTTTTCTAGACGTTGAACTATTTATAGGCAATTGAAATGTTTATGTTTTATACTAGTAGTTTCTATTTGACTTTATGTAATTACAAATTGTTTGGCTGAGTAAAAAATATGATAGGTTTTTTTCGTAGGCGTTTAAAGTTAAATTTTAATGGAAATCGTAAAAAATAAAAAAAAAAAAAAAAATAAAAAACAGTATTTCAAAACATATATATACAAACTTTAAAAAAAAAATGTTTTTACTATTTTGATTGACAACATTGTAGAAAAACAGCCCTAGAAAATATTCCCCTCTTTGCATTTCGTGTTCAAACTCTTAATATTTCAACCTGAACGCCACGTTTTTTTTGAATTTTAATTCTATATAACGTAATTTTTGATATGTTCAAAATGCACGTCTTTTAAGTCGGGATGCGAGTGTCCTAGATCTTATGTATATGTCATTCTCATAACGTCTCTAAGTACGGCGGTGCTTTGAAAATCGTAAGTGAAAAACCAGCGCAATTTATTTTATAACCTATAGGTTAAGATTAGCCGACTAGGAGTTTGTCCGTCGGAACCGCTTTCGGAATGCGATAATTCGCGATCGGGTACGTAAGGTATACGTTCAATAAATAATATTATTATTATTATTACCCTCGAATTCCGACTCGTTGTTTTCGGGAGTAGAGTATGCTGACGAATTCATAATTAAATTGTGCAAATAGTACACATCATATATTATAGACACAGTAAGGTACCTAAAGCAATAAATCCGAGACCGATGACCATCGTGTACACAGCGTGCCGTATTTGGAAATGTTTATACCGACTACCGACTCCGCGAATAAACAAATAAGCAAACAAAACAGTCACCACAAATGATAATACCGTATCGATTATAATTAATAGACACCGTATTACTAAATAGGTACCCGAGACTATAATTTACACTTAAATCCAGTAAAATATATTAGTATTATGTGATTTAGTAAATCTGTAAAAAAATCACGGATTTAAGAATAAATCACAGAACATCGATAGGTCGAAACGAATGGGAAAATTACCGGATTCGTGGACAAACGGTTGACCTCGACCGAATTTCGAAAATCCCGTTTAGAGAAGAAGCACAGAAATAGACTCTTCGTATATACCATTATAATGCGACTTTATTTGAACGTAAAGCATTTTTTTTTTTTTAGGGCGGATGTGATTTTTAGCGATTAGGGAAACGGCTGTATAATAATACGGTTTATATATACTACAGTAGGTATGTAATTATTGTCAATAGCGACAAAATTCAAATAATTACGGCAAACAAACAAATGAAACAGTTTTTTTTTTAATTTTCACTTTTCCGCTTCGGACGTGATATTATAACAACGGGCACTGTATCATATTATATTATATTATTATATTTTAGAGTAAGACGATTACGATGACAAATGGTTCCCGTATATAATATTAGTATTATATTTTATAAATGCCACACGGCCGTCGTATAATATACCGTACTGATGAACGTCCGATACCGCGTGTCAGAGTTGAAAAATATAATACGCATTTTGATTTGGTTTAATGAACCTCGGTCTAATGAATAGCCCTAGGTAGTATGTCAATAGGTGCGATAGGTGTATTATCATTGTTATTTTATTGTTGTGATGGCCAACCGTCGAAAACGGATAGTAATTAGTCATGTTTAAGTCGATATAGTATACCCGTGTTTTCACTTCGTGTATTTTTCTCCCTTCGTCCGTTATATTTTTTTTTTACGCTGTGCCTAAATAACAAAAGCGCTGCGAGTATAAAATAGGTGCACTGATCGCTAGGGCCTTGTTGTGCTGGTAAAGTCCGCAAAAAAGGTCGTAAAAACGTAAACAAAAAAAAAAAAACAAAACACCTGGAAAAAGCGCTTACAAGCATTTAAAAAAGCAAAATCTCTAGATATGGGCGATCTAAAGACATTATATGTTATTAATTCAAATTTCACAACCCTATATAAATAATTAAAACGAAATTGCTTTTTTTTAAATAAAAAAAAAAAAATTACTTCGTGTTAAATCATTTTACCGTTTTTTTTTTTTTTCACTCAACAGACCTCGTCTACTATATCCACACTTCCAATTCAGTCATAACCAATAACGGCATAGACTCCTCTTGTTCAACCGTTTTAACTTTTTGAATTGCACTGTATTATTGTAGTGTAAATATAAACAATTTTTTTTTTTTTATATTTAAGTTGTTATTTTTACCACACAACATACAAAAATACTTGGCCCCGTTTCGGAATTCTCGCGGTAACATCCGTGTATCGCGCAGTGGTGTAAACGTTTGAATTGAATAAAGAATCGCATTACATTATATTACATAATAATGCCCTACCTATAATAATAATGATACAGCCAAAAAAAAATGCACATAATGTTTTTAATACATCGCCAAAAGGATCAACCGTCGACAATTCACACAAATCGTTTTCGTACAATCGTGTGCGTCTCACAAAGGAAAACATGCCGCCACAACACACGGCACACGTCGTCGTATCGTCCGGAAAACGTTAAAAACGAATTCTCGCGCGACTTTGTAGTTTGTATACTCGTTTGCAACATCTTCTCCCGGCATGCGATTATAAACAGTTCACCGCGGCGCAAACGGACTTCATTAAATCAAACCTCTAATAAGATGACGACTTTACGGCGCGCGGACTTTTATTATGGTGCGCTCTTCCAGTTGCGTTGGCACTCGCGTACTCGTCGGAACACTGTAGCCGACGCGAATCGCTGGCAAACGTCCACGACGATGACGACGACGCCGACGAGGAGGTACGGGCCACTAATTTTAGGCTTTTTTTTTTTTTTTTTCCCATAAAAACGTGCGCGATGTTTGTGTGTTCGGCTAACTACTGTAATGTTATACTAATTATTCGTCGCGCGAGCCTTTTACCGCCTGTGTCCCGTTAACGAACCCGAAGCGGTCGTGACATCTCCGGAGAGCCGCGTGAACCGGACGTGTTACTTCCTGTTACGGTTCGACCCCCGAAACGTTACGAGTCTCGCAACATTATACGAACCTTCGTTCGCACTCGTAGGGAGGTTTTACGTGTACCTAAACCCAGGACCGGGCCAGTGGCCTAAGGAGCCCAGGCTCAGAAATTCTCGCGAAATTCAATTCGTAAGGTGTTTTCGCGAAATAAGTACTTTCATTATACAGGGTAGTAAGATTCTTCAGAAATTCAAATACCTACACATTTTAATTCAATTTTTTTTTAATTTTTACTTATTACCTCTATTTACTAGGGTCTCTATCTGTAGATATGGGTCATTTCGCCCCCAGCAACCCTAAATCCGGTCCTGTCTATACTTACAACAACGGTCGCCGTCGTAATATTATTGTGTCGTTTTCAGACGCGTGTGTTCTCGTGGCATTTCGTAAATTTTACGGTAAATACCACGCGGGTCGCAGTCGGTATAATACTGATATAGGTATACAATAACGCGTGTACCTACGTCTGGATCGGATGTTTTATTTCTTCCGCACAACTGTAAAACGACTCTCGTAAACGCCTCCGGGGGCGGTAAGGGCGACCCGTCTAAAAGAACCGTGCAGTACCGTAGTCCGGTTATATTTATTTAGTTTTGTAAAAATCATTTTTTTTTTTTTTTTACATCGAAACATTTTAAACAAACATACGTTTTGGCTGCTGGCATCCCCGCGGCACACATGTAATACTCGTATTTATATACATATATGAATACGGTAGTACAAGCACTTGACAATGGCGGGACAAATAAATTCTCTTTGTGAAAACACCAGCCCAGAAACCCCTCGAGCGGCCACAAGACTTCGCGGTCGCCTGCCGAGAAGACACGGTATAGGTATACATAGGTACGCGGTGGCGGGTCTTCGGGGATCCTTTATTATTCTACTCCGTGTGTATACCCAACCGTCACCGGCGCTTCTCGTTTTTACGTAGCATTATACACATGCCAATCCCTTTGATTCCGAACATAGAAGAACTATAATAACTATTCCGGCAGTCGACGATGGCGAGACGTGTTTTACGTTTAAGATATTAATAGATACCGACCGCACTAGTTTGGCAATGCGAATAACAACAAATCTGTGCGATTTTTGTGCTTCATCTATTAATACGACCAGTCGTAATATTGTATTTTTGATGTCGCTAAATTAACACGGAAGATTGTGATAGCCTGAGCGTGTATCATCACGGAGAAGCCGATTATTACAGGCGGTAATGGATCAGAACCCAATAGCCAAAATATCTTTGAAAACGCCGAGAAAGATGGAGAGATACGTAGTAAAAAAAAAAAAAAAAAATCCATAAGCTTTAAAAAGTGACCCAAATTGGAAAATTTCTAAAGGTTATAATTATAGGCTGTAAGACAAGATTGCCCTATATTATATATCCAATAACCTTGCAAATAATAAATATGAAAATTACCTAAACGCAGATAGTGATAATGCTCTGTTATGTCTGTCGTTCGCAGAATTCTCTTATCAGCGAGCCGCATAATGTAACCAGCTACCTGTTTTAGTAAATTGTTGTTATTTTTATTGTTTTTTTTTTTCTATTATTTATCAAAATAATAAATTTCTTTACTTTCGTCCTAACCTACTACAGAGGGCTTCTAAACGTTTCCAAAATGTAAACGTCATCCTTTTCGAAAATCGTGTCACAATAATCATATCCGTTGTCCAACTATAACTATACCGTGCTCGCTATGTTAACAATGGACTGCTGTGTTCGTCATTGTTTTAATATAATTATAATACAAATTTGTTAGCAAGCGTTACCTTTAGCAGGAAACACTTTTTTCTTTTAACTAATCGTCCTCTCATTCGTTTCGATGTGCACATTTTTAATATACACGTAGTGTTCTTTATCCGTATAAAAATCGAGTCAAATAATGTTATAAAATTAATTGGCTCGTGATATTAAACTAATATATTTTGGGTACCTATCTATAAAAACGTTTGGAAAATATTAACTGTAAAACTTTAACAGTATTTAGCGGCGATAGGTTCGGCATGTGCCGATATTGTGAACCGGCCGATGTTGTGAATATCAGGGATGGGTTTTATTTTTGATTCGAAATTTTTAGGAAAAAAAAAACTTCCAAATATGTTCAATGATTGGATAAGATAACTAAAACATTGTCCATATAAAGATAAAACAACACAGAGCTAAGGAGGATTATGCAAATTTTTAGATTTTTTCAACTTCATTAAGAAAAATTAACTCAAATTTAAAAGTTATTTGGAAAAAGTTAGTTTTAATTTTTTCTATTTTAACGAAGAAAGAGTTAAAAAATTTAAAATGAAATTAACTTTGTTAACCTAAGCTAACAAATTTGTATATCAACCTTTTCGTTATAATGAAGTACTTATGTAAATTTAACTTGATTACAATAGGTAGGCCTATAGAATTATTAGAATTCAACTAATAAACTGATAAGTAACTGAAGAGTAATCAAAAAACTGCCAGAGTAAAAGGAATGAACATAACTTACCTACGTAATTATTAACTTGTTAATACATACCTATTTATTTTACCTGTAAAGGTTATTCGTAATATTTTTAAAAGAGAATAAAAATAAAAATATTAACGCTTAAACAATAATTCCGGTTATTTAAAATGTTTCGCAAAAAACAATTATCGATAGTTATATTCGTCTAAGATAAATATTTAAACCATTTGAAATCAGTTATCTAGATAAAATAAAAAATAAGTAAATAGTTGTTATCTAGATAAATTAAAATACTGAATTTATTGCATTCAAATACGAAAAATTAGCGTATCTGCTTCAATCGCTTTCCACTTATAGATTATAGAAATCTAAGATATCCACATATAGATGACATTTAGTCGATTAAAATTAAGTCTTTTAAAACCATCGGATAATATTGTGTGACCGCTGTCTCATTATTATTATCTGTCGACATTACTCCATAGTTTTAAATGTAAAACTATAACATTATGATATTTACCAAAGAATTTATTTCGAAAAACGTTCAAGGCGGTTTTCATTTTTTACACTCGCGTACTGTACCCGTAAAACTATATATCAGTACGTGATCTCTTTAACATTTAAAAGGTTTTATTTTGTTTTTATCACTCCATGCAGGTATATTAGCTACTGCAAATCATAATTGTTATTTTGTTGCAGTTCAAAAGTCGAGAGTCCGTAAAAATTAATAACTCGAAGTTTTAGATAAAACTGACAAATAAATTACCGTTCGTGTTTTCTATGTATTGAAATGGCAACACTTGCGTCGTGGTTACATATTATACATACATTTTTTTTTTTAAATTCTATATGTATTGAGAATATTGGTGTTTTTTGTCCCTAAATAATTTTTCTACTGCGAATCTTGTTCCAATCATTAACATCAGGGCTGATTTCTGATAGTTGGTATACTTATAAAATCATTTTATTAACCTATTGTACAGTTTTCAAAACATCTGGCAAATTTTAAACTATTCGATTTTATTTTTTAGTTTTAATGGGATGAAATTGTTTTGGTCCAGTAAAATCGTTCGAAAATCAAACCCAAAGTTTTAATTAGTGTTCGAAGAAAAAAAGTCCGTAATGCGTCGTAATTTTTTTTATAAGTTTTTATAAGTTTAAATTTTGACAAACATAATGAAAATCACGGCATCACAAAACACGTCTTACTCAACTTGACTCAATATCGTTTTTCGTTAGCAAAGAAAAAAGGGCCAAAGTAAGTTTTGTATAGTTCCCAATACGAGTAAATTAAATACATTTTGAAAATTATTAAACGGTATAGAATGTTGAACGACTAAATCGCTAAATCACCTAACCTAACACGACTTGTGCCTTTTTTTCAAACATGAAATATATTATATTGACTCGAGATATTTCAATTTTATAAACGACGCGTCTTTGCGCATATGGTACCTACACACTATAATGCCGTCGTTAGACCGACAAATAAATGGAAAAAAATTACACAAGATAAAATCAGAATTAAAGAAATGCCGAACGTTGACTTAACTTTTTCATACCGCGGGACCGAAGATATATCCTGTAGTTTCCTAATTTCTCGCTTACGACTACAGTGACCTACCCATGATGATCAGTATTCCTATGTGCGGGGAGTTACGATCGTATCCCTCTCAGACCTTATCATAGTAGAAATAATAGAGTCTGGTTGCTCTCTACATTATTATTATGACAATATCCTACTAGCGTGCGCAATACTGTCTGAGTGTAACATACTCATCGCGGTTATCTTATCTAGAGTGCAGATAATCGTAGTACATAACTGTGTTATAGTTGTTTATTTCAATACGTTATGACGAATCGTTTTTAAAATAGGATCAGTTAAATAAACGCATAAGTCACATATTCATACGCGAGCAAATATGGTCTACAAATTATAATAATAATATTATCACCGCGTTTAAGTCACGGATTATAATTGAGTTTTTTATTGATCAACCATATAATTTATTATTTAGTCCCTAAACGTCATGTATAATATAATACAATTAATCGATTCGTATTATATTTTCACAGCTGAGCGGATACCTATATAATCACAATCGGTCCATAATCCGATTATAATAGCCTGTAATATAATTTGACATTGAAAATGGACATTTTCCGAATTGACTGGTTTTTGTTGATTCCGTTTTATTTTAATCTATTAAATCAATGAAATCTGTTTTAATCTTTTTGTTTTACTCTTGCAATCATTATTGCTTGTAGAACGGCCGGGCGGCGTGTACCGTTCGATTGATCAATTAAAAATGATTAGTACTTAGTACGATTTTCTCGTCCGTACCATTCCATCAAAATATTAAGATAATTAATGTCATGAAATGTTATATTAAACAATTTTAGATTATGAATGCGGCGAAAAAGCTATTAGTTTAATCATAAGTTTTTTTTTTTTTTACTACGAAAAGTGCGTTTTTTGTCAATGAAAATGATTTGATTTATTCATTATCTTTTTAATGTACAATTACGGTACCAGTATACATTAAATATATACGGATATATTTAACGGATGTTGTTCCATCATCTGAAAATTGTTATAAAAAAATGTTTTTAAAAAACTGACAACAAATTACATTGCTATTTTGATTTTATTTTTGTCGATTTTTGGATTACTATTGAGAAAAAATACGACTGTAGTACCTTACCAGTTTACAGAACTTCGTTCAAAATTTTTTTTAATTGCAATAATTTATCATCGCTTTCATTATATATGTAATAATTTCTAAAATACCCTTGTATTCCATATCTAAATTCCTAACTTCCCACCTACAACGATAGCTTATCGATGGCACGAAATATGCCGAGTGAGAACGAAAAATCATTGCAAACGAAAGAAAGAAACTATGTTGAACGGAGTTAAACACTTATTTAAGAAGCAATAAATGCCTCTGCGATTTTCGAAAGCTATGTGGAGGGGGTGGGTGTTTAATTTATATGTATACGACAAAATAACTGAATATAGTTTTACAACTATTATAAATTATACAATTATTGATAATCGGCGAATAATTATAACAATAATAGTAAATAATACGACAGGTTCATTTCACTGTTCAGCGTTTACTGTTTAAACCACACACACTCGTTTGAGGTGACCAAAGCAATTCATGACAAAACTATTATTTTTAGTCAAGACGTGAACATTTTACAAATTGTTTGGGATGGTTATTCGTGTACGGTTTAGCGAATAAGCTTCGAGTTTCACCTTATTTGCGCCAATGGTCTTTGAAAATATTCAAGTAGCAGAATTTCTTTTAGCCTCCGAGTAAGGTGAGTTAAGCGGTCCTCTCGGCAATGTCGATCTCGCCGCGCCACTGAATCCACTAATGCCTGCGGCGATACCTGTATACATTATTATAAAAACCAATACATTACTACGTACTTTATGGTGTTTTATTATTTTAGTCGTTAGCATTCCGGTACACGCCATGCTATATATAAGCGAAACTAGGGTTAAATTTATGGGGGTGGTAAAATTGTACGAGTATACACGCGTACGAATATAAATGGATAGTGCAGGATACAACAATATAAGCGCCAGATTACCCTCATAAATAACATTTAGGTGTTTAAAGAATATTCCGTTACATGTATATTACAACATACATATTTGATAACAAATTTTTTAATTATTTTACTCTTTCCCTGTATTTCGATTGTCAATTTTCGAATCCGTTTGCTAATTGACGTGTTTTTTTATGGGTGGGGGGGGGCAAAGGGAGCATTAACATAATTTAGACACGATTCGTCTAAATCGTACCAATATTATAGAATCCGTCTACGGGGGAGTAAGGTCAGTCGAAAAGGGTTTTCAAACGGTTTGAAATTAGTGTCGGGATTTTCGAAATTTTTTTCAAATAAAGGAACGTCAGACGAAAAATCTGCGTTTTTCGAATTAAGTAAAAAATCGGACTATTTGAAATAAATGTTTTCCCCAGACAAAAAAATCACTATTATTTTTGTAAGACCGTAACAATATAATAGCTTCTTAATTACCCGTAATAATATACCACCAGAATCTGAAATATCGTAATTTTGTACTTTTCTGAATAGTATTATATCTTTTAAAAACGTGCGATTTTCAAAACTATCGCCATTAAACGGGAGAAGCGATACTTATATACACGCCTAAACGCACCCCGATACAAACGGCGAATAATAATTATCGTCGTCGAGGGGGAGACAAATAATGTTTGTGTACACTTTGTACTCACGCGCTGCAGAAACTGCAGTTGGCGGCCGACCGAGCGCGAGGGCGCGAACGTACACCTCGCGATTTTCCGCCCCTCGGTATTTTACAGTTGAAAGAAAAAAAAAAATCCCGCGGTTATAGAGGATACCGTATACGTATAATTCGGGAAAACTTCTCGGCATCGTCCGTGCCCCGCGGTACAACAATTTCCAGCGACGACGAGCACACGATACACAGAGCGGTTCTCGATGAAGGCGGCGGAGGGTTACCGCGGGGCGGTAAACTTGTTTCGGGCAGTGAGGGGCAAGTGTGCTTTGAGCGATAGTGTCATCTCGTTAGGCGCGTACTGCGTTCGATTCGCGAAACACAATAAGTTCGTTTTTGGACGTTCGTTCGATTTCGAAAAATTTTAAAGAAATTATAATTGAGGAATTGTATTGCAATTTTATTTTATTTTTCCCAAATACGCCAAAAAATTTTGCTGCTAAATTAAGCTCTTCGACTTTTTTCACAAATAATCGGCTGTAGTGGTTGGTATCAACTTCAAATCATAGGCTATGAATCATTGTAAATTATGATAAGAAATTAGCGGAATTCTATAATCAAGAACTAAACCTACCGACCAGATACCAATCAAGGTGTAAATATCAATAATACACCATGGTACCAATAATGACTTTTAGGATATTGAGATATTGAATTTGGACATGATTGTTTCGACGAGCCGGAAGTACAGGGACGGAGTTGTCCTCCCTCCCCTCCCTGTGGGCGCCTTTTCCTCCTATAACGCACGTCGTATCTGTAAAATCCGAAGCGATCGGAACGACCCGCGAGGTGTTTTACGTGGCGTGAGTTTCTCGAGAAAAAATTATTACTCATCATCCTCCGGTTATTGTTGTTGTCGTGTGCGCGCGTTTAGAACGGCGGGCTCGGGGAGCGGCACGGAGGTGTTCGCCGCGGTTCGTGCCGGTCTGCGGTGTGCGGCGGCGGCGGCGGAGGCGCGCGCGCGACCAGTCCGCCTGCGTTCACCGGGTCGCGTGGTACTGTGCCGTCGGACGCGACGTCACCGAGACGATCTCTCGACGACGACGATTATATTTACGTGGTTTTTTTTTCTCTTTTGCGAAATACGTTCGTTTCACACAAAAAAAGAAAAAAATCACGTTCGTTTTTTTTTTTTCGGTTTTCGTGCGTTCGCGATGTCTCAGCGTGAGTTCGATCGTCCCGCGGCTGTTCCGTTCGCGAAAAAATAAAATCGCGTTCTCGTGTGTATGTGTACGTGTGTGTAATTTTTCAAGTATTATTTCGCGCGAGCTTGAGTTTTGTGCGAATTTTTTTTTCTACATTTGATGTTGTTTAATCGTTCTCCGGCAAAATATTAAAACATGACGGATTTAAATACGGTGATCGAAGGCACGGTGAAATTTCGCGACGGCAAAAAGGTAAGTCTGTAATTTTTTTTTTTTATTTTTTTATTTTTTTTTTTTTACATTTTTTTCGCAAAATCTATCGGGCGAGAGTTCTGACGACGAAGGCGTCGATAAAATATTAATATCGGATTTCTCGCGCTCGCGCAAATGTTCCCCCGCGAAAATCTGTTTTCGCGGATTATACTATTTAAATCTTAATAACGGCACCCGGAGCGAGGGCCAAAGTTTCCGATAAAAGCCGATTTGTAAAACCGCGTATTATTATTATACATGCCCGTGGACCGAACATTGACACAAGAGCTTATAAAATTCCGGACATTTATTATTTAAAAGGCCAATGCTCTACCCGCGACGCTCCTCCTCAATATACTTGTTTATCACGTCTCCTAGAGGATTCGGCTTTTCTGCGCCTTTCATTTCTTTCTCGTCTGTTTATCGCAGTTATAATATTATCGGCTGCGCGGTTTCGAACACTCGGCCTAACCTACGTAACAATTAATTATCATTATATTACCGCGCCGTGTCCCGTTTCGACCGGTTGATTTCGACGCGTTTTATTACTGGCGTACAAATTAAAAAAAAAAAAAAAATTTCCATTTAAATTGTCGCTATAAAGTTTAGAATGTTTTTTTTTATTATTCTCGAATGCTTATTTCTGTCGAAATCAGGAAAACGGTTTGGTTACCGGAGCAACATTATACACGATTTATATCGAGTATAATAACATTATATACTTCGGTTAACTCTGTACGCGCGATATAAATATGAGTATGTATAAAAATTGCGTCGATAATATTAATATAATTTACAGTTATAGTAATTATATTTTTTTTTCTATACGGCAATACAAATAATACACTTTAAGCAAATTAAAAAAAAAAAAAAAAAAAAAATAATAAAAAAAAAAAAAAAAAATAATAATTATAAAAAAATAAAAAATTATAGGTCAGGTACCTATGACTATACAGTCGAGAGTGTTATGACCTTCTTTTCTTTTATGTATATGTATATGTATTTATTTTTTTCCTTACACCGTTCATAACACTATATTTTTATAATCAATACTCAACACGAACGCGTCGTAATCATATCGGGTACGTGTAATCATTATAATAACAATTTTCTTTGAAGTGCCAA